CTAGCTTTTGTGGTTCCCGAGTTGAAAGTGCGGGACAAAATCTGGGACACACACACACACACACACACACACACAAACACACACACAGACAACCCTGTGACAACGCTGTTACACAGCACAAAACGCATAATATAGGCAGAAATGAAGAGTGCCTGACCGACAGCATCAATAAGATTCAAGCTGAGAGTTCCAGTAATCTTAGATATATAAAATCTTAGAAAACTTTACCTTCTTTTTCAACGCCTAAACTCATTCCCGGCTTGTAACCCATCTTCGAAAGCAGCAAAAATCCTTTCGAATCCGCTTCTACGGGCTTTGCCAATCCATCATCACGCATCTTTTTTTCCATTTCCGAAATTTTTGGCCTATTTCGTAAACGTTCCATATTTTCAACCTGTTTTGACTCGATTTTCAGGCGCCGCGTTTGTGTATGCGTCGTTACAATCCCTGCAAATGATAAAATGTGATATAAAATTGCCAAAATATCTTTTTTTTAAAAATCTTTGCACTAAACCCACAATATTATCTTAAAATTTGGCTAAGCACAAGAAATATGGAAGTTTAGCAGCTTGATTTCAGATTAGTAATGTCGAGGCGCAGGATTAAAAGCTGAAGGACTTGAAATAATGGACCAGAAGGATTGTACTCAGGTGTCATGTATAATGTGTAATGTGATATTTTATGGTGCAAACTGTCTTTCATCGTTTAGATGCAATAGTAAGGTGATATTTTACGATGCAGTCTCTCTGTGTGTTTCATCCTTTAGCTGTAAACACAGACCGGACTATGCATGCGGGAAGGAGTGGGAACCGTCAGTACAGCCTCCTGCCAACCATATATTGAAAGGACATGTAATTAATTTGCAAGACGGATACGCGAAAAATAAATAGCAACGCGCACCAGACTAGTAGGTGCGATCACGCGTTTTGTGCATGCAATTCATCCCATCAAACGATTGCCTATTAATGATCTTCACTGCTTTGTACTTTAGTCTATGCAAAAATAATTCAAACATTGGAAAAT